TCGCACACAGTGAAAAAGAAACATCAGGAATCCCTGTAAAACAAAATTTGTAAACGTGAGCTGTAATTGCATTTTATATCTTAAATATATTTTTTTGTGCTTTTCCTTTGCTAGGGTAACACTTTTCAACGCCTACTTGATGGAAAATAGAGATGGTTGTGTTTACCTGAGTCGAACTTAAGACCGTTTGTATGTAGGCGCAAATTTTGTCTTCCGAGGAAAGGAGACCAAAAAGCCACGTAAAGCCTAATAAGGGAGTCATCATCGCGCATGTCTTGATGCAAAGTCTGCAGAATAAACGTAAAACAACTCAATTCTTTAAAAACTAGGTGAATAGAATATTCATATCAGAAATCGATGAAAAACGTAAATTCTAAATATAATTTGTTTGCTTCTTTTTTCGTTTGGCTGTTTGCTTAATTCTTGTTTAACCTTCTGATAATTTCATCTCATACCGTAACTGATGATTATCCCCAGTAGATTGCATTCTGATCATTTCTCTGATGACTCTTGCCAGGACTAACACATTAATCTAGATAAAGAATATGGACTATGGAATATGGATTAGTTGGACCCCTTGCCATTTTTTCGGGAATGTGTAGACATCTGTTACTGATAAGCTTAAAAACTATCACGAGACTGTTATCGGCATCGACGTTTCTTCCTTTTGCGCGGACTTCATTGTTAGATTCAGGGGAGTTTGCAAGAATGTGAAATGCCCACTTACGAGAGCTGATTGGTCAGTTTCCACGTGTTGGTATCGGTTTAAAAAGGTTAAAGAATATAAGGTTTTTGAATATATCTACAAATATTTAATACAAATTCCTTTGATATTCATAAACATGCTACTTACGATTTCCACCACCAAAACAACGAAAGCAAAAATCCAAATCAGATGGTTAGCCTGGGACAATCAACAGCTTGAAAGTAACAAATTTGAGCATTAATCATAAAAGCTTCAGTCTATGCTCGGCTTCGTTGAGCTAGCGACGTATTCTAAGCAATGTCATGAAAAATCACTTAAAGTAGTTTAAATAAAGATTTTTAGAAGTTCAATGCTTACTATTTCTCGCTGACAAAGCTATGAATACCGTCTTTTACTGAGGCAATTATCAAGGAGATGCTGACCATAAACGCAGGGAAACCTTCATAATAAAAGATATCACTCAAATTAAACTTTATAGGAAAAAATATACATATTCGAATGTAATCTAGATAAACTCTTTATGGCGCCATATAGCGTTTGATAGTGGAAAGGAACGTCAAAAAACTCACTCCAGGAAAAAAAGTGATAGATAACCGTTCTTCCATCGATATTGTACACCTTCACAACGAAGAAGTAGAGAAAAATTCCCTCGATCAGCATCCAACAGAAAGCTGCCATAAGGAAGTAAAGCATCAAGGCAGCTACTGCAACACATACACCCTATGGATCGAGAAGTACTTGGGTTTTTAGGAACTAACTTACTTTTAACGACAAAATGCAGGAAAAAACTAAGATCAACCATCAAGATAATATACATCTATAACGATGATACAAATAAAAAAAGAAATGAAATAATAATTTTAAAAAACTTTCTCGCGTTGTGCAACCGCATTGTTTTCTTCATACTGAGGCAATCATTTGCAGGGAATGGATAATGCAGTGGCGATTTTAGTTGGTCTTAAAACGAAGTGCTTACCTCGTCTCCTTTAGCATTAATACCAGCCAGAAAAATAATCTGACCAGTTCCCAGAGAAGCAGCGAGACTCAGCCTTACTTGGGAGAGGGGTTGACGCACTTCGCTGTAGATAAAAGAAATGCAAAAAAAGCAACCGCTGATACATTTTTTTAGAAAAAAAGGCAATGAAATAGTCTATTTGTGGAAGGATTCGGAGTAATATGTAAGGAATGCTATAAAACAAATTCCCCTACGTGAAAAGAGCATAGGAAATTATTGTAAGAATTATTCCGATTATGGACAGGGTCAGTCCAACGTAGGTAAGAGTCGTCAGAATCTTCTCATCAGTTTTTGTGATCGGTGACATAGCCTGCAAATAGACAAAAAAATGAATCAAAATTATCCATTTGTTGATTGCAAATATGAGTATCATAGTCAATAGTTGGTTAATTGCTTATTGAAAGTGCTTTTTTTTTTTTCATTCGGAGAACAGAATTTGAAAAAAGTAATATGGTATTAATTAAAGGAGCTTCCGTTCTACTTTTGCTCGCGCTTTCTTTTTTTATCAGTTCCTACTTTTTTTATTTTGTTTTGCATCCATGCTTGTTCCTTTTGTTGTTGTTAAGTGAAAAGTTGACTGCAACGAAGGCAACTGAGACTTTGACCGTGGTGACTGAGACATCGAAAGTGGCTGTGATTGTGACAGCGAAAACAATGTCGAGGATAATTACCACAAAGGTGGCAATGGAGTGGGACGTAACTTTATGGATTCGGATGGTGAAGACACTTCTGCAGTTAACTGAAACGTCCGGTGCAATGCTGACTGCGACAGTGACTGAAAGGGCGTCTGGGAAGTCGATAGCCAAAGAGATAGCGAGTGCAACTGAGACGGCGAATGTAACGCTGACTGTGAAGGCAACTGTAGCGATGACTGAGAAGGCGATTGGGAAGGCAGTTGGGAAGGTGACTGCAACAACGACGGAAACTGAGACTGAGACAGCAAATGAAATGGTGGATGAGACGGTGATGGAGACAGCAGCTGCAGTATCACCGACTGCGACATAGAGAATGACGCTGATCGTGACGGCGAATGCAATGGCAACAATGATGACCACAGTGGTGGCGATTGAGTGGGTTGTGGCCTCACAGATTCGGATTGTAAAGATTTGTCTGCAGTTGTGGTTAAGGACAATGATGGTGCAGCTGACATCGATGCAAATAACGCCAAAAACAAAAAAAAAATATTACTGAAGAAATGTTCTCAGAAACAACTTTTTTTCCCATACGGTTTATTTATACTACATTTTAATTTCAATTTATATTCATTAAAATAAATTAGTTCAATTGCTTTCTTATCTCTAAATTGTCTTCCTGCGTCTTACAATTTTATCCTGATTGTCAGAAACTCCATAAGTTCCGCTATGAGAGCAGTTTTAAGT